CTCTGGGAGTCCAAGGACAGCCTGGTCTACATAGCAAGTTCCAGGCTGGCCGGGACTGTGTAGTGAGACCCTGACTCAAAAAACAAAACAAGAGTTCAAGGCAAGCCTGGACTACAGAGTGAGTTCCAGGAAAGATGCAAAGCTACACAAAGAAACTGTGTCTCGAAAAACCAAAAAAAAAAAAGATGAAATCCTATTGGGAGGTGGAGGCAGGAGAATCAGGAGTTCAAACTTAGCATTGGTGCTGTCACCAATTTCTAGGCCAGGTTGAGCTACATGAAACCCTGGCTCAGCAAAAAGACAGCAGAGCTAGGCGGAGGAAGAGCCAAACAAGACACTGGGTCTTGAAGAAAAAAGGTAACCTGTGAGTGGGTGGATAAACTCTTTGAGGAAATAACCATGAGTACCAAAGGCAGGACCAGGGTGAGCCTGGGACATCTGACTGCAGGAGAGCAGAACGGACCGCCTGCCCCAGAGCTGAGGAAGGGAGGCTGGATAAACACTGTGGGGACAGACTAGAAAGGGTGTGGGGACACTGCAGTGGAAAGTGGGAACCTCAGGGGCTCTGTGCTGGAAGTGGCGTGTGAGGAAGGCTATGCAGCGGGGTATGCTGATGATGCCTGCAATCTTAGCACTGAAGAGACCGAGGCAGGAAGATGGAGTGTTCGAGGCCAGCCGAGCCTGCACACAGTGACACTGTCTCCACTAACCACAAAGACATAAAGGAGTGAAAATGTTGTTCAGAATGAGCTGGAGTGGGTGGGTGTGAGACCAGGAAGAAGAGAGGCAACTTTGGTGGCCTGTGAATGAGGCCACCAGGGTCTGAATCAGAAGGGGACACAGGGAACAGTGTATTTTACCACACTGTTGAGGATGTCTGATTGGGAGCTTCCAGATACAAGGAACACACATAGAGGAATCCAGAAGCAGGAGGCAGGGGGTCATGCTACAGACGGAGACCAAGACTTTCCAGTGTCAGGACTATGTCCACAGAGGCTACATAGTCCTCAACAAGGGGATAGTTTCTTGGTTTATTCATTTATTGCCAGTGTTTCCAAATTTCACATCTGCTTCGCCCATCCCATGAACATCATCACGTCTTCAACTCATCAAAGTTTACTGGTTCCTTACCAGAGATAGACAGTAAAAACAACAACAAAACCTTCTTTATCTTCTGCTTCTGCCTAAAGAAACACCCGAGAGTTCTTCCGTTGACCCAAGGTGCTGAAATACAGTCTCAACCTGATGTGGCCACGCCAGAGAAAACAGCGCGTGGACTAAAGAGTCGGATCCCCAGCACCATGCGGAAGCTGGATGTGGTGATGTGTCCGTAACCCTACTACTGACCAGAGACAGAGGCCCCGACACATGCATGAACAGCCAGTGTGCCCTCGCACACATGCACACACAAGTAATTTGAAAATACACCCATACTTCGTTGGCCACGCTGCTTTCCTGAGTTTTTCTGGGTTCTATCGGATGGGGAGGAAATTCTCAAGGGGGAGACGGCAAAGAGGAAATGGTGCTAAAGATGAGTCTCCATCAGACCGAATAATCATCTTGACTAATAATTACTGCATCTACAGCCAACTCTGCTTCCTCCCCGACTTCCTCCCACCCTCTTGGCCTGGGTAGCACGGAACAGGGTGAGAAGATGAAGGACACCAGCAGGTCCCATCTGCATGTCCACAGCACTGGTCTTCTCCTGACACTCTGTGACCTCACATAGCTTGTGCACTATTTTTCTTCCCACGGTCATTTTCTGGTTAGGCTGTGAATGGGACCTATCTTACTCCAAAGCAGCAAGAACAAACGTAGCCACCAGACATCAGTCATGGGCTCTTGCCTTGATGTACGGTCAACTTTTGGCTTCGCAGACATTCTCTTACTTATTCCCACACTGATCTTGGGAAGTAGGGTCTCTGGCCAACACCCACTTTCCAGTTTGAGACATCTGAGTCTTCCAGGAGGTTAGCGGGTGTGTGAGGCGATGGAATGAGCAGGTGGCAGACACATTCCTGTGCCACCCCTAAGTGCACGTGACGAAAACCAAAGGAATACAATGAGGCTGACCATGAGCCACAGTGCAGGGGTCAGGGTGGGCCATCCTCTAAGAACTGTGTTGTGGACACAAATGACAGGTTCTCTGACGCCCTGAACTGTCCCAGGGGGTGGGTGGGACCCTGCTAGAGTTGGAGTCTTACTGTCCCCTTTTGGCAGGACACTCACATCACATCAAGGTCAGATGGTACACAAGAAAAAAAAAAAGATGCTATCAGCTATCAGCCTGTGCAGGACTGATGAGGGCTGGCAGATGGCATTAAAATGCTTTAAAGTGTTTCCTGAGACTGTGCAGGGACAGGCCAATCTGGGGCAACTGAAGCTTAACTTTGAAAGGAACTTTCAATACTATCTATCTATCTATATGTGTGTATGTATGTATATATACACACATTTATATGTGTATGTGTGCATGAGTTATATATACATATATATAATGTATATGTGTGTGTACACACACACACATACAAATACATACACTCACACACACACAGACATACAAACATACACACACACATACACACTCCTAAGACACTTTTAAAAATAACTTGCCTCTGCAATTCCTAAGCATCTGGGCCCAGATGTCACGTTTCCTCTGAAGGCTTCCTTTTTATGTTGCCACCAGGGCTGAACCAGAACAATCTAGAACTTCAGGCCCCGTCCCAGGAGTTTTTGGTTCTTCTTTAATGTTTTGTATGATGGTCCCAGTGTGTCGGGAGGTTCTCACACACTGACTCTGCAATAATTTAAAACAGGAAACACAGCACTCGAACTGTGAAACTCTGCCTGCCCCCTCCCCCGCTTTGTTTCTGCTAACATGTGGCCTTGTACAAAAGGGGTCCATGTGATCTTCGCGGGCCAGAGATAAGAACTATGACCCCGGGAAACTAGAGAGAAGGGTCAGCCTGTGTCGTGTCAACTTACTCGGGAGAGAGAGCCCTGTCCTCTGGATGGAACCGGCACAGGGTTGGCCCTGGGTAAATCAACAGGCACAGATGAATGGCACGCAGCAGCAAGTGACTGACTTCCACCTTCCCTAACTCCAGAAAATCTGAAATCATCTGTCAGGGGGAGGCCACGCCCACTTCCTCTCCCCACCCACTCCCAGCTCTGACCTGAAGCCGGACTGTGAATCTACATTCAGCCCATCCTGGCAGTTCTGAGAGGCTGCAATTTATATTACTTATACACACACACACACACACACACACACACACACACACACACGCACACGCACACGCACACGCACACGCACATACATAAACCCCCCACACACGATTTGGCATCCTATTTCAAAGATTATCTGAAATTTTTAATTTCCTCTTTTCCTTAATAGATCTTCCCACCATGAGCAGCACACCCCACTACACACATTCTTGAACAAACAATGCCTCCTACACAGAACGACAAGAATCAATGTACACACGGGACATGGAGGATGCTAGAGTTTGTCCAGGGCTGAACGGCAGCCCACGCATCTCGTTCAGTCCTTGCGGGGATTGCCTAGTAAAGCCGTTGTTAAAAGAGACTCACGGGGCAGTGTTCGGGCAGAGGATGTTTTAGACCAACTAACATACGAAGTAGCGGGCTGCCAATCAAAAGTTACCTCCTTGCTTGCGTCATCTGACTTTATTTTATGGACTAGAGCTGCCCAGAAATTAATGACCTCAACGCTAAGGCATTTTCCTCTCCACTCTACTAAGTAACTAAGCCTAGTCACTAAAATGATTTCAAAAAATTGCAAAACCGAGTAACTGTGGCCAAACTCTTTGATCTTTGTGTCTCTATGTTTGGAATTACATGTGAGAAACTCCTCTGCTTTCTGCTCTATTTTCTCTTTCTTTGAAGTAAGAAAAATAGGAAGTGATGTTTTTAAGGTCCGGGACAGACCCTCTGCCATTTTGAGTAGTTTACTTTTTTTCGAGATGTTACTTTCATGCTGGGGGTGGCGGGCACCCACTAGGGTAGGCGGCGTCCACCTTTAAAAAGGTAACCTTTGGCATGTTTTGAAAGTTTTCTTCACGGGCTTTTCTGCCAAGATTATGACATTCTGTTGGCAGCCTGGCCTTCGCCTTGCTGATCCAGAAGAAAGAAGGAAAACTTAAAAAAAAAAAATCCAAGTTTTGAAAAATGGACACAAAGGCCCAACTCTGTCAAACCACTAACTGAACATAGCCTGTGTGTCGGCCGAGCCTCGGCCTTAGGTTTCTCGGCTGGACTTTGTGCGAAGGTCCTAAGTGCTCATGTGAAATTCAACACCAAGTTCAAGTGGCTCCCGTGTGTGAGCACTGTGTCAACATAAGGGGCTGTATAATGGGACATTCAGTGTAAAACTAAAAACCAAGCACGCTTACTCGCAATGGGCTGCCCGAAACGCAGGCCCCAAGGCGACACGACAGAGGCTTTCCATGGAAAAGCCCGCATCCCTCAGCAGTCGATAAGCCTGCGAGGTGAATTTCTTTGAAAGGTTGGCTCCCCGGCAAGATAAACCTGAGATCAACTTCAGTGACAAGGACACCCTAGGCTGTCAAGCGCCTTCAGATCCTGAGAAAGGAAGCTCTTCACAGACACTCAAGTGAGACTTAAGCAGTACTTCCTGGTCAGACCCGGAGCCTCAAGAGCACTTTACAGGGCTTTGTATTTTGACATTTGGGGAAGGAATGTTCTAAAACAAGTCTCTCGTCCGCACCTCCCCACCCCTGTACCCCCAGTTCCCACCAAAGAGAACAGCAGGCGTGAGCTAAATAAACACCATGTAAAAATCCATGACATTTGGTCAATGCCTGCAAACGCCAGGCCAGGGCACTGTCCTCCATCAAGACGTCCACAGCATCGGGCTACGTGAACGCGCTCCTCGTCCCTCTGCCTGGGTGCTCCGTGAGCTTTTCACGGGACACACCCTGTTAGGAGGCCGTGAAAGCATCCCAGAAGGCACTCACCGGGTTCCTTGAGAATGAGGAGCGGTCAAGATGCCTTCACATTTTACTCTTCGAATCTACAGTGCCGTCTCTTCGAGGTTTAGGGACGAGAAGTCTGCAAGAAACCCCAGAAAATCCTTATGAGGAACTACAGATAAAGAAGCATGAGCAGGCTGCCCCACGGTGCTATCAGGCCCAGCAGCCTGCATGCCGCATTTCCTGTTCCGACGCCCATTGGCCCTTGCAGGTGCGTGTGCCTCTGGGTGGTGCCAGTCTGCCGTTCATTTGCTCTCTTTCTCTCTCTCTCTCTCTCTCTCTCTCTCTCTCTCTCTCTCTCTCTCTCTCTCTCTCTCTCTCTCTCTCTCGTTCTGTCTCTCTCAACTATCAATTCCCTGAAGATTTAAGGTTGGCTTTACCAACACCAGGAACATCTAGGATCTAGGACACTACCAACCCTAAGTTCAAACTGAGAACCATGCAGCAAGGCTCATTATGGACTGGCGATCGCCTAATCTGAAAGGCCTGCGGACAGTTTACTTCAACAGGTTTTCGTGATTTCTCGAAAACTCGCCATGACTGAGCCTGTCCTAGGGAGTAGGGAGGATGAAACAGGATGATTCCCAGGTTCAAGTCTTGCTCAGGCTACAGAGGGTCTTCAAAGCCTGTGTGGGCTTCAGGGTGAGTTCAAGGACAGCCTGGGCAACTTAGTGAGAGGCTGTGTCAGAAATGAGCGGTGGAGGGAGAGGCTGGGAAGGAAGAGGGCTCCACGGTTAGGAGGACTTGCAGCTCTACCAGAGGTCTGGAGTTTGGATCCCAGCAGCCACATCGAAAGGCTCATAGCTGCCTGCAGTTCTAGTTCCAAGGGATCCAAAGCCACTTCTGGCTTCCCTGGGCACACACCCCCATACGTGCATGACACACACACAGAAATTAAAAAAAAAAAAAAAAAACTTTAAAAAATAATCCAGCCTATATAAACCCGAGGTCCAACTCAGTATCTACCCCTGTCACTTTCTCATGGTTCCTGGCACTAGAACATTGTGGTGACCAGAACATGGCCTGGGATCTGGTAGATTTTGTATTTAAAAGGGGAAGAAAAGTTTCATATGACGGAGACTGAAGACACTCAGCTGGCAATTGGTAAAGCTGACAGCAGTTCACGTTTACTCTAAAAAGCCTCGTGATCAGGCCTCCACTGGAAGCCTGAAAAGGTTTTTCAGGCTTGGTGGCTCACACTAGTAACCCCCCTGCATGGGGGGGGGTGCTAAGGTGGGAGGATGGCAAGTTCAAGGCCAGCCTGGTTCACACAGGGAGACGATGGAAAAAGACAGAAATCTTTTCCAGACCCCGGTACGTGGAGGTGAGGGTTTGTGTGTCCTTGGTATTCCAAGTGCACGTTGGAGGTGGTGGCTGTGGGTGCCGGCAGGCAAGATGTCGTCAGTGCTCAGTTATTTTAATTCAGCCTTAAACGAATTACTCATACATGCAGAAAGCTGATAACACCCCCAAAATAACATCAGGAGTTTGAGCTGACCAGTTTCCATCGTCAATATCACAACCAATGGAAACCAGGTGAAAAGTCTCCAAGGAGTTAATGTTCCTGCGCCGGGACTCAGTATTACTGTGGGTTTAAGTGTTCTGCGCCTAATAAGGTGTCACAGGCACCAGAGAGGTTTCCTTACAGCGAACAGTGTTCATAGGTTTTTCTCCAGCCTGAGATGCATCCTTCCTGGCTTGTACGGTCAAAAATAAGAGTGAATGAGAGGCCGGCCCAAATGACAATATCCAGAGAGTAAAGTGGACATGAAAATGCTTCCAAACTATCTTTTCTTCCTCAGGATTTTTACTTCCTTATGTTCAAAAGAACGAAACTCCTGTAGCCAACCAATTGGAGAACTTGCTCAAGGCAGACTTCTACTAGACATTCAACAAACACTCACTAAGCAAGTAGCTGGGGTGAAAGCATTAAGTCAAAGCGACAAGAACCCCTCCTTTGTGGACCCCAAATGCTAGTGGGGAGATTGAAGGTGAACAGAAGTGAAACAAAAACACTTGCCAGTATGATCAAAAACACTAGCTGGGTGGTGGTGGTGGTGTCGGCAGCGCACCCCTTTAATCCCAGCACTCGGGAGACAGAGGCAGGCAGATTTCTGTGAGTTCAAGGCCAGCCTGGGCTACCAAGTGAGTTCCAGGAAAGGCGCAAAGCTAAACAAGAGAAACCCTGTCTCGAAAAACCAAAAAACAAAACAAAACAAAAAAAAACAACAAAAAAACAACAAAAAAACCACTAATGACAGTCTATGTTGGAGAGGATGCGGAGCAAGGGGAACACTCCTCCACTGTTGGTGGGAATGCAAACTTATACAACCACTGTGGAAATCAGTATGGCGGTTTCTCAGAAAATTGGGAATGGATCTACCTCAAGACCTAGCCATACCACTCTTGGGCATATACCCAAGGAATGCTCAATCATACCACAAAGATACATGCTCAACTATGTTCATGGCAACACTATTCGTAATAGCCAGAACCTGAAAACAACCTAGATGCCCGTCAACTGAAGAATGGATTAAGAAAATGTGGTACATCTACACAATGGAGTACTACTCAGCAGAGAAAAACAATGACAGCATGAAATTTGCAGACAAATGGATAGAACTAGAAAAAATCATCCTGAGTGAGGTAACCCAAACCCAGAAGAACAAACATGGTATGTACTCACTCATAAGTGGATTCTAGATATAAAACAAAGAACAGACTGTAACCCACAGATCCAGGGAGGCTATATCACAGGAGGGACCCTAGGATGACTGTGGATTATAACAAGTTTTGGTTTTACTCAATCACTGGGCAAGCCTCAATGAAACATTTCACTATTAGGATAAGAATTTATACTGTATCAAGCTGATAATAGAAAAATAAATTAATTAATTAAAAAAAACAAAACACTTGCCAGAATTAGCAAGTGTTGGAGAGAAGAATTCAGTCTGAAAGGTGGAGACCACCCAAGTTGATTTGTGCTCAGCTACTAATTGATCGTTCTAGAAAGGAAGGTCCTCTGCTTCGAAAGAACAGTGTGTGGAGGTGACTTACATCACCACCATCTTCTGTTTTTAAACCTCAGAGAAAGTACAAAATTCCAAAGGACCCAACTAATAAGAACACCATCCAAGGAAACAAAGTAATAGAGCCCAACATCAACAGTCAAAGTGAACTCAGGAGGCAGAGTCAGGTGGATCTCTGAGGTCGAGGCCAGCCTGGTCTACAAAACAAGTTCCAGGACAGCTAGGGCCACACAGAGAAACTCTGTCTCGAAAAATTAAGAGAGTAAAAGTGAAATGTTAAAAATGACCATGGATCTTTCCAAGTCCTGGGTTCCGGATGCCTTCTGATGTCAGACATTCCAACTGTCATGCTCGGAGGTAATCTTCCCTCAGGAACTTGTCCCTATCATCTTTGCCTGCAGCGACAATTGTATTCTATAATTATCTCCATAACTATACTTAAATACTAGTTTGTATCTAAAATGTTACAGTTCAGTACAATTCAATAATTAAGGTATCTGTTGCAAGGTTAGAAATATAAGAGATTGTTCTTTTTTAAAACCAAAAAGATGAACATCTGCAACAGAGAAGGGAAGTGTAAACCCAGAATGGACTATCAGAAAGAATATTCTAGAACAAGGAAAGCATATACTTAGAGAACTCGAGAGAGAAGCGCAGGGTAGTTAGAGGTCTCACCATCGATGGCCCTGGGTCCATGAAAAACATTCCAGAAACCCCCAAAGAATCCTGAAGATGAGGGACACAGGTGTTGAGAGGGCAGGGCAAAGATGGGACCGTGGATGACCAGGCAGGAAGTGTATGGCTAACAGGCAGGTGACATGGCTGAGGGGGAAGGTGGCAGGAGCAAACTGGCTCCCACCAGTTGTCCTCTGACCTCCACAGGTGACCCCCAGCAATACCCCATACACAGAAAGTAAATGTGTAAGAGAAATGGGGTACTCATACCCAAGAATATGTTGCTAAATCTGCCCCGAGTTTAATAGGCGCAGAGATTGGTTGGGGTCTTTGACTAGATGAAGAAAATTGGTGTCCTCCCTTGAGGAAGTCAGAAAGTGTCTGTGTACCCTGGAAGGACAGAAAGATGAGGCTGGGGGCTGGAGAGCTGGTTCAGCAGAAAGAGACCGACATACATACAAGCAGACAGAATGACACCCACATAACACTATAAAATTAAAAAAAAAATTTAAAGGAGACACTGGACAATTGTCACAGTGTCCTAGCATCCTACTAAGGTGCTTATGGGACCGTGGAGGATAGAAGGTGAGGATGGAGGCGGGGTGGCTTCCAAATGACAAGCCAGCCCCGGGGGCAGAGCTAGCTCCTGCCTCTGCCCCCAGCACCGAAGGACAAAGAAACCACACCTAGCTCACCTGGGTCATGCTTGCTACTGTCTTGGTGATCTTGGGAAGTCACTGGCTCCCGGAGCCTCAGTTTCCCTGTATGTAAAGTTACTCCTTGTTCTTTCTGGGTGTCATTCAGTGGAGCAATGATCCGTGAGAGGACAGCAAAGGCGCCCAGAGAAAACGGTTTCAAGGGGTTGGGAGAAGCGACGTCCACTGCTGATGGGGTCGTCTATGCTCGCCACTGTGCTCGGTGGCACACTAACGGACCCGAAAACGGTGGCGTTTTTAGTCTTTCTGAGCCCACACCACCCTTTTCGCCAGTGTCAAACAAGGAAAGGCTAATATTTGTTCTTGTTCTTCAAGGGAATCCTGTCTCTCTTCCCAGCCTTCATTAAAAGGTTATTTTTAACAGAACACTTTTTAAAAACATTATTATTATTGCCGGGCGGTGGTGG